CTATGGAAGATAAAACAGCAATGATTGTTAAAAATAATTATGTCAATTAATCAGTGTGAAACATTTACTTTCATAAAATCCTTGATGAAATTCAGGATTTAAGAAACCGTATCTTCACATATTTTACACAACTTCCTAACTTATATTTTTAAACAGGTGGCTACTAATGCTTCATCAGTTATTTCAGTTGGTTTTATCTTATCTCTATAACAAAATAGCTGTATCTTGTAATTCAAATGAACAGATATTAACAGAAATTAATCTTAATAGAAATTAGCAGAACTTAAATTTAACAGAACCTTAACCTGCCAGAACTTAAATGTAACAGAACTTCAAAGTAACAACATGAAGGCAAACAACTGCTTTGTAACTGAAACAGCAGTAACATGGATTTACTGCAGACATTATAAAGGTCTGCCAAACATGTTGTGATTTTATGCATTCATAGCGAAGATTTTTCTGGTGTAAGCAACTCTTTCCTAGAGTTTTGGTTTTGGTTTTGTTTTGTTTTTTAAGTGCAGCTTTACTCAGAAAAGTGACAACAGTGTAGTTTTTGGCAAGTTGCCCTGCAAACCTGCAGCTTTTTGAGATTGCCTATACAATAGATTTGAGCTTGGCCTTATAAAGGTCAATGGGATATAAATATTCAAGGCTAAAACAATAAGAACTTAGTTATATAATAATGCCATGAGTTTTACACAAGGAACTTGGTTACTTTAGTGGGTGTGTAAGACTGATAAACTGTTTTGACACCAAAAGATTCACAATAAAATTATCTCATTAAAGCTGTGAGGTAAAAAGGAAGCAAACTGGTAACACTGGGATAAGTTTGTCTGCCTTTGCAGAGGAATTTCACATTGTAATTATAACTTAGTCTCGAACAGCTACGGCAGATAAATTTCAAGATTTGCCTGGAATGTGAGCAAAAGAATGTCTAATTTATGACTTGTCCAACTGCAGGCTTGAGAGTTAATTGCTGTTCCACTAACATCGACCTAAAATATTTGCAAGGAGGGATCCCCCGAATTTTCTAAGGATGCACTGTGTCTTACAAATATGAACCTTCTTGTCCACAAACTGAAACATTACCCACTTGCAAATATTTTTCCAGGTATGTAAATTTTTTATTACCGTGGTAATAGCTAACACCATTATAACTTAGCGAAGAATCAGTGTCAATTCAGTTCAAATCAAAATTCCTGAAAAGGGAGCACACACTCCACAGGGCAAGCTCCACCAATCATGCAATATATCAGTGTCTCTGCCAAAGAACCCAGATCCTGCCATGCCACCCATTTGCAGTTCAGCAAGTGCTAGGTGAGGTGGCTGTACCATCCGGGGGCCCGAGAGGGGATGGGATGATCTCCTGTCAGGGAGATCAGGGGATCCAGGTCCCAGAGCAAGTGGTGTTCCATCAGTGCTATCCCAGATATGGAGGCAGCGTGATGGTGGCCACTGTGGCTGCAGGGCCTGGTGCTACTGTGGGGCCACGCCGTGGGCAGGGGGAAAAACCCATTCCCAGGATCTGTGTCCTGGATCCGTGCCCAGAGTTCATTATCTGTATCTGTCTAGCACTCCTCCTGCACGCAGTTTTTAACATCAAGGTCTCTCTCATCTAGGAAAAAGGTACAAGCTTTTGTAACTTGTAATAAAAGCTGCTCCAATGTGGAGAGATGACTGTAATACCTGTAAGGGTCTGCCTTGCCAAGCCGCCGTCCAGCCCATCATTGCAATCCAGCATCCCGGTGCTATGGGTCTGTCAGGCTTTGGTGTTGGCCCCAGAGCTCTTCCTCACCGTAACCCTATCTTGTAGGCAGAGGAAGATGGAATGAGTTTTGGAAGGGGGGGGTAGTAAACAGAGGAGCTCTCATGACCAGGCAGTGACAACAGCAGCAGCAACCGCTGCCTCTCTATCGACTTTTAATCACAGTAATGAGTCCCCAGCCAAGCGATAGCCACGTCATTACTGATCCTCTGGCTATTCCATTCCCCTTTGTAGCTGCTTCCCATAACACCTGCCCTGCTTCCTCCCATCTTTCAACAAAAAAGGCAGTCTGTACATCCACTCTCACCCATTTCTCTTGCACCAAATGAGCAAGGTGCATAGCGCCCACGTCTCATAATGGATACCTCTCTGCTGCAATATTCACAACAGAATGTTCAAAATAGATTTTCCTTCTGCTGCTATTTGAGCCCCCATATCTTTCTTCCCAGTCACTCACCTGGAGTCAGATGTCTCTTCTTTCTTAAATTGTCCAGACTTTCCGGCTTTCAGGCCCTGCCTGTTTTGTTTGACTGAGCTCCACTGCTGGCTGCTCTCAGGTCTGCAGTCCCAACCCTAACACATCTGGGGTCACCATTTAATGGTGGACACAAGACTGACACTAAAGATGGTGGCAAGCATCAAAAGCCCACTTTATTGCAAAAGCCAGGCTTTTCCAGCAGTTAGCTGGTTATCAGTTTACACAGTGCTAAGGCACAAGCCCAAGTCAGCCAACCACCATACACCACAACGTGGACATGCAGCAGTCTCCTCAGCACGTCTCTCACGTTTCCCTATCCCTATTCCAGCTGAGTCCCTCTCCCATAATCCTCTTCTACTTAGCCAAAACAGCAGGCCTGAGCCATGATTTCACAAGGGCAACAAGGCCCTATTTCATCAGGCTTCACCTACATACAACAGGATAGGGAGCTGCCGGGACTGTCAGCCCAACCCAGGATACTTCTAGTCATGGAATGGTTTGGGGAGGAAGGGACCTTAAAGGCCATCCCGTTCCAAGCCCCCCTGCCATGGGCAGGGACTCCTTCCACTAGATCAAGTTTCTCAAAGCCCCATCCAGCCTGGCCTTGAACACTTCCAGGGATGTGGCATCTACTGTTTCTCTGGGAAACCTGTTCCAGTGCCTCATCAATCTCACCGTAAAAATTTCTCCCTAAATCGAATCTAAAAGTACAGTCTTTCAGTTTGAAGCCATTCCGCCTCGCCCTACCACGACATGTCCCGATAAACAGTCCCTTCCGAGGTCTCTTGTAGCCCTGTTAGACACTGGAAGGATGCAACAAGGTTTCACTGCAGGCCTCGCTTCTGCAAGCTGAACAACCCCAACTCTCTCCCTGCAGCCTGCCTTCACAGGAGAGGGGCTCCAGCCTCTGACCACCTTTGTGGCCTCCTCTGGACTCTATCCAAAAGGACCATGTCCTTCCTGAGTTGGGGGCCCCAGAAGTGGATGCAGTAAGTGCTCCGAGGAAGCTGCATTTTAATAAGCATTTGACAATATTAGTCCATTCACCTCACAGCACCCACTTTTTCCAACTTTTATCTTGATGAAAGCTCAAAATTAATTTACTGGAAGTACAATTAAGTTTAGAACTGCAGGGGAAACGATGCTTTTGTTTTGCATTGCTCTTTGTCACGGGACAGAGCTAGCGGAACGCTCCAAATTGTGGCTGTAGGTTTGTAACAAGCACCTGTCACAAGGCTGCTTCTGGCACACTGACACTTAACTGCTGGCCTCAAAAGTGTACTGCTTGCCATTTTCAAGCATGGGATTTTGCAATATGAAGAGGTGAAAGTGGCTGAGTATTTTGAGTCACTAACCAAACCACAGCTAACTCAACAAGGATCAAAATTCAGTAACCAAAGACTCCAAACAAGGAGGTATCTGAAGGAGGTAACCAGAAAGAGAAGAAATAAGTGACAACTTCAGAGACAGCTAGTTTAAAAGAAAATTATTGGGAGAAAATATTGGTAAAGGAGTTTCAGGGTTATAATGATGGGAAAGTGTTTGGGACTTTCGGTCACATTTTGCTAAGGGTGTTCATTTCCGTGGTCCGAGGAAACACTGGAAGGCTTTGGGTAATGCCGGGAGGCCTTGATTTCCCAGGCACAGCTCAGCGAAACAGGTTCCCACTCATGGCTGGGCCCGGCAGTTGCGGACACAAAAGATTTCTCTAGCTTAGGCACCGGCAGAGGCGATGCGGTAACTGAGGTGTATCACTGACTCGGCCCCAGCCTGCTCCGTCCCAGCTTCATCCCCTCGCAGATCTCACCCGAAACTCGCGGCTTTGCCCTTGGACAGCACCATTTGGCGATGAAGGCCAGGCCCTCTCCGCCGGTCGGTGGCGGGGCAAGGTCTCGGGGGCACGGACCGTGGGGGTTCCCGGGGCCGGCGCTGCCTCGGGGACCAGCGCTGCCAAATTTCTTTCTGCATCGCCTGGGCTCGCCCGGACGCCGCGTCCCTGCCGGAGGGGATGGGAGGAGGAGGAGGAAGAGGAGGAGGAGGCTCAGGGTGCTCGGCGGCCGTACCTGGCGGGGCCGGGCTCCCCTCGGGGGGCCGGGGGGCCCCGCCGCCCCGGGAGCGCCTTGACCCCGCCGGCACCGCCAAGGTCACCGCCCCGACGTGTCCCCTGTGCCCCGGCCGCCGCTGCCCCGCCGCCGACACTTGAGAGTTTAAAGAGGCTTTTCTTCCCCGGGAGCGGCGCCTGAGGGAAGGGGAAGGGGCAGGAGGGGGCAGGCAGGAGGGACAGGCGGGAGGGGCGGGGAGAGGCTGGCAGGGCAGGAGCCGGGCGGGGTGCTGGCTCCAACTGGAAAGGAACCGGTCCCAGCCCAGCCGGGGAGGCTGCGGGAGAGCCGGCAGCGCCGGGCAGAGCTCGCCGGCCCCAGCCCCGGCCCCGGCCCCGGTCCCGGTGCCAGCCCGAGCAGCCGCCGCCCGCCATGGGCACCGCGCCCCCCGTCAGTGCCGCGGCCCCGGGGCAGGCGGGGGGCGCAGCCGCGGGAGGGACGGGGACTCCTGGCGGGGCAGGACCGACCCCGTGGCAAATGTGGGATGGGGGGACTCGGAGCGGGACCGGCAGCCTGGGCGGGGGTCAGGGAGCAGGGGGTGAGAGCAGCGGGGCTCGGGGAGGATGGGGATGCAGAGCCGGTTTGTGCAGCGGGCATGGCTTCCCGGAGCCACGGTCCTGCTGGGCGACTAATTCTGGGTTTGTGCTGTAGAGCGGGTCCGTGAAGGCAGGGAAGATGCCAGAAGGGGAAAAAATGAGACAAAGTAAGCAAGAAGAGGAGCAGCAACAGAAAGAAGAGAAGCGGGAGGGTCTCATCGAATTCTACAGCTCCTACCAGGAGCTATTCCAGTTCTTCTGCAGCAACACAACCATCCACGGGGCTATCCGCCTGGTGTGCTCCAAAAAGAATAAGATGAAGACAGCCTTCTGGTCCGTCCTCTTCTTCCTCACCTTCGGCTTAATGTACTGGCAGTTCGGGATCCTCTACAGGGAGTACTTCAGCTACCCTGTCAACCTCAACCTCAACCTGAACTCCGACCGGCTGACTTTTCCGGCCGTGACGCTGTGCACCCTCAATCCGTACAGGTAAGACTTGCAGAGATGTTGGCTGCCTTGACTTTGATGGGTGCAGGACAAAAGCACCTACTCTGGTTCTCCTCGTGGTCCTCGACTGTTGTAGCTGTGCTTTTCAGAGGCCTTTGCTGCCGCGGGGCACTCACAGTAAGGCATGTGAGCTTGGGCAGCTCTGCTGGTGGTGCATTTAGCAGGCTGCGATGCAAACTGCCGCAGGGCTAGAGCAGATTAATCTCTCTCCTGCAAGGTAGCCTCCAGCAGGAGGTTAGATTTACAGCTGGGGGCAGGAGCTTTGTGTCCTCTGGGCTTGTGCTGGAGCAAACTCTGCTGCACGTCTTATTCAGAGCTGTTTGTGTGCATCCAGCCCTAAACCTGCTGGTCTTCTCTCCCCCCTGCTCAGATACAGCGCCATCCGAAAGCAGCTGGATAAGCTGGACGAAATCACCCACCAGACACTGCTAGACCTCTATGACTACAACATGTCTCTGCCACAGAGAGACTGGCCCGCGTCGTCCTCACAAAGGCGTAGCTCAAGGAGCCTGCTCCATCACATCCAGCGCCATCCTCTGCGGAGGCAGAAGAGGGACAACTTAGTCAACCTGCCAGAGAACAGCCCCTCAGTGGACAAGAATGACTGGAAAATTGGCTTTGTTCTGGTGAGATCCCAGGAAACCCCATGCCCTACCCACTCCAGTCTGCCTGGCTACTTCTGTCTGGTTAGACCCTTGGCCATGCCTTTCCTTATTCAGAAGTCTTTCTAATCTCCACCGGCTTTTGCTAATGACAGATAAAAGCAGAGCTGAATCCTTTGCTCCATACAATCCTGCTCCCCAAATTCTATCCATGTTCCTGCAGGCCCCAGGGGACATGTCCAAGTCAGTGTAGTCTCTTCCCAAGAGCAGGAAAGCCTTGTCCTTCTCGAGGGTACATCAGCCTTGCAGCTGCTTTTGAGAGCAGTTTATCAGCATCAGCTGCTGCATTGCCCAACAATAGCAAAGGAGAAAGTATTTGATGGTCCTGGGCCACCTGAGAGGTGATCATGGTCGCAATTGCTCCTAGCTAGCAGCTTCCTCGCCCCAGGGTATCTGTGTTCGCATTTAAAAAGGCACTGAAGGACTGAAGCTAATCGCTCAGCAGCTAACTGGGGTTCCCACGGGATCACAGACGTTTTTCTGGACACACCCTGAAGGAAGGGCTCCCCACGTAAGAATTTAAAGCTCCTGGTAGAATTTATGTGCATATTACCCTGTACACCTTGCTGCCTCCCGGGTCTTAATCAGCCTCGCTTATTCACCTGGCGGTGCCCTTCCACCGAGGAGCTGCCCTGGCTTTTTTTCCATCTGATCACCCGTTGGGCACACACAGGAGTCCTGTGGAAACTCTTCACTTCCTCGGTCACCTGCCTGTGCTGAGGGAGCGCAGCTTATCCACGGGTGGAGCCTTTTCTCCTGGATGAGAAGACTTCTCTGACACGGCTCTTCTTCCTCTTCCTCTCAACAGTGCAATGAAAACAACGACTGTTTCCACCAGGCGTACTCCTCGGGAGTGGATGCCGTGCGGGAATGGTACAGCTTTCACTACATCAATATCCTGGCGCAGGTGCCTGATGCCAAAGCCCTGGACGAGTCTGACTTTGAGAATTTCATCTACGCTTGCCGCTTCAACGAGGCAACCTGTGACAAGGCGTAAGTAGTGGGAATGCCCCTGGAAACACTTATTTTGTGCCTGGGGTCCAGGGAAATCAAGGAACCCACATTAGAGAACCTCTTTTCTGAGGTGGGATCATTCCTTGTTCAGTTCAGATTTGAAAGGTCAAAGGATCTTTCTTGAGTCTTTGCTGTGGGTTTTGCATATCAGGGCCACAGGTTCTGTGACCTGGCAGTATGAACCTCAAAGGATGGTTTTGCCTTTTTCTAGGTTTCACACAAATGAAATAATTATACTGGTACAAACACCAGGGAGGGCACAGATGTACAGCATAGAAGTATTTTTATTCTACCCTCCACAGTGGTAAAATGGTGCATATCAGGCCACATGAAGGAATAAGAGAGATTTGACACAAAAAGACAGTAAAAACATATCCCACTTTTCTCCTGCCATTATTGGTCAAAAAGCCCCAAGGAGGTAGTGGAATGAAAATTATCTGCAAGGAAAGAAAAGGGGGCAGGAAAATCTAAGAGCTTCATCAGTATTAGGAAGACAATACAGTAATTGCTAGCACTGCTAAAACCCATTTTGGGCTCTGAAAAGCAGAATGAAAAACCTTGTGTAAAAACCTGTCCAGCTCCAGGACATTTTTTACAGCACTTTTTAATTGCTTTTCCCTGTTCACGAGAGTTTACATAACAAATACTGCCCATCTGCTGTAAGCCCCTGTCCCTGCTGATGGAAAACAGAGTTGCTCCTTTCAGAAAGCCCTTCTCCTTGGTTTTGCATCCCTTCTCACTCTGTTTCTGTTCCCCCCTCAGGAACTACACCCACTTCCACCATCCCTTGTATGGCAACTGCTATACCTTTAATGACAACAGCAGCAGCGTGTGGACATCCTCCATGCCTGGGATCAATAATGGTGGGTGAGAGGCACTCTTTGGTGAGTAAGGAGAGCAGCTTGGCTCTGTTTTCCCTAGGAGTCACTATGGGCATCCTGCTGTGCTCAGCACTCACTGGTGGTGGCAGATTGCAGCCCTGCTCTGTCTCGCCCAAGCTGTTTTCACCCATCTGGAGAGAGCAGTCTCATGGACGTGGCTGCCCCTCATCACTGCCCACTGAGCTCTCTCTCCCTCATCAGCGCCTGATCCTTAGGCTCTTTGTGTCCCCTGGGCTTGTGCTGGCCCTTCCTCAAGTCCTCTGCTGAGCCATAGTGCTCCTGGTCTTCACCTTCCCCATTTCCCCCTCCAGGAAACTGACCTGTTTGTGTTCCTAAACTCCCTGAAAGCTCTCCAGAACACATCCTCAGGCTTTCCTTCCATCTGGCTTCAAGTTTCTCCATGAAATCTCTCTCAGTTCCCAGTTCTGTCTTTTTCTAAGCCACAGTGATGAAATCCAGTTTTCACTGGCCTCTTCTGGAGACTCCAGCTTTTTCTCTGGCCTCCCTCCAACCACCCTCTGTTGCTGCCAGGCTTTGGTGCAGCCCTGGTTGATGTCTGTCTTCTCCATAAAATCTCCTTCAGACTTCCCTCTAAGCATCCTGCTCTCCCTTCTCTGCTGCAGCACAGCTGGCCATGACCTGCCTGGCTCTCTGGTGTTCCCTCAGGTCTGTCCCTGGTGGTGCGCACCGAGCAGAACGATTTCATCCCTCTGCTGTCCACGGTGACAGGAGCCAGGGTCATGGTCCATGACCAGAATGAGCCAGCCTTCATGGATGATGGGGGCTTCAATGTTCGTCCTGGCATCGAGACCTCCATCAGCATGAGAAAGGTGAGCAGGCAGAAGGGGGGAGAGCTCTGGATGGGAGGTTTAACTTGGTGGACCTGCGGTGTGTGTTTAAGGGAAGGGACTAATCCCATGGAGTGAAGGGAGAGGAAGAACAGCTTGCTGGATTCAATCAGAAGCATTTGGCTACAGTTTATCAGTGAACAATGAAATGGAAGCAAGCAAGGGGAGCTGGCATCCTGAGGAAAGCACAAAGAGCAGATACTGATGGATGAGCAGTGTGTGGTTGGGAGAGTGGGAAGAGGACAGCAAAGTGGGGCTGTTGTGTGCAGTGAGAGTCTGCTCTTGCAGGAGATCACCGAGCGCCTCGGGGGCAGTTACAGTGACTGCACAGAGGATGGCAGTGACGTGCCAGTGCAAAACCTGTACTCATCCCGCTACACCGAGCAGGTAACCCACACCTGTACTCATCCCA